TTCATCTGAAAAATTGAAGATTATATAGGTTAAATACTTAAGATACTGTACAAGTTTTTATAAGAACAGTGTAAGTAGTAGCTCATATCAGGGTCGTATATTCAATATTTTTAAAGGTATGAATAGACTACAATGTAAGACGGAACGAGGTAGGAGGTTCTTAACTCTTATTTGGATATTCATAGTCTGAAATAAGATGGGTTGTAGTTTAGAGGCCAAATTGATATTTTAAAATTTTAAGTTCGCAAATTGTATACTCCGTGTGCTACAAATGATACCTCTAATTCACATGTACAATAAGGTTAATTATTGGTTGTATAATTAATAAAAACCCAGCACAGTGGGGTGGCGGTACAGTGGGGTAGCGGTACAGTGGGGTTGTGGCATAGTTGGGTCCAGTATAGATGATATCTGACAGTGATTAAAATCACTATCATAAAAAACGCTTCGATGCAAATCTGTAGATAGTGTTTAATTTATAAAAAAAAAATTTGTTAAAATAGCATATTCTTGAATATGGTAGCTATTTGCGCATAGAAGATAGGTCGTCGGGACAAATTTTTTTTTTTTTTTTATACTACACAAAATAAGCTTTAATTTGATATATATTTAAAGGACGCAGTATTCCCGGAACATTTTCAAAAATTAAGTTGAAAAAGTTATTTTTTTTTAAAAAGTTACTATTTTAAATCCCCCCAGTGAGCAGGATAAGTGTTAGATTTTCAAAAAAAATTATATCAAATGAAAGGGAAATATCTAAGGTTTCAATAAAAAAAAATATTATTTTTATTTGTTCATTTTTGAAAAATTTATGGCAGTTTTAAGTACAAAAAACATCCCGATAAAAGGTAATTTTTATCGCAAACATTACATTTTTTTTTAATTTTCGACAGCCATTTGCATATAGAAGATAAGATGTCGGGACAAATTTTTTTTTTTCATTTGATAGTATATAACATAACCTTTGATTTAATGTATGTTTAAAGGACGCAGTATTTCCGGAACATTTTCAAAAGTTCAGTTGAAAAAGATCTATGTTTTTTACAAGTTTTGAACGCCCCCTATATAAGAGGAAATTGTCCAATTTTAATAAAAATTATGTCAAATGAAAGATATACTTATAATGTATTTAGAAAAAAAAAATTGTGCTAATATATACATTTTTCAAAAAGTTATAGCATTTTTAAGTTGAAAATTTAAAATCGAAAATTTTAACAAAAAATAGGGTTTTTTTTAACTACGGCAGCAGTTTAAATGTAGAAGATAAAGTTTCGGGACAAATTTTTTTTTCCATTTTATAGTACATAAAATAAGCTTTAATTAAATATATGTTTAAAGGACGCAGTATTTCCGGAACATTTTCAAAAATTAAGTTGAAAAAGTTAGTTTTTGTAAAAAAGTTGCTATTTTAAATCTCCCCCAATGAGCAGGTTAAGTGTTATTCAAAAAAAAGATATCAAATAAAAGGGAAATATCTAAGGTTTTAGTTTTAAAAAAAATTATGTTGATTTGTTGATTTTTGAAAAAGTTATGGAAGTTTTAAGAAAAAAAAGTGAAAAAATTTCGAAAATTAGCGATTTTTAAATTTGTAATTTTTTTGGAGGTTTCCTCCATTTACGGGGAACGAGGAAATTTTTTCAATTTTTAAGGGTAATGTCTCCAACTAGATACGATGTGTGATCTTTTGACGTATTTTTGAAAGAAATCGGTCCAGTGAGAACTGAAAAAAAGTGGCAACAGACATAAAAAAAAAAAAAAAAACACATCATAGTAAAATTAATACCTTCTCCGCTTCGCATCGAAGCTAAAAAAATGCAATTGAATACTCTTATAAAAAACTGTGGAACGAGTTGATTTTTTCGTGCTCCTTTAAACATCTGATATAAAATACTTTAATACATTTAATGTATCATTTTACAATTATTTTAGTCTAAAAAATCATCCTACAATTATTTTTCAATTAGTTATAAGTATTATTCGTGTTTGAACTTATTAGGTGTCAATGAACTTTTATATTTTATATTAACAAATCGATTAGCAATATTTCCCGATTTTTAGCCGTTTTAATTGTAGAGATGTCTCGACAGAAGTTAAAAAAGTATCGACTTTTTGTAAAACCAAGAATTTACAAAACTGACTTTTTAAGCATATAAATTTTAAAATGTAAACATATTCGAAAATATAACGTATTTTTTTATGTTTTGTAAGAAAACTATGTAAGAATTATTTTTTTGTTTTACACAGTGTTTCAGATCTAGCTGACAACGCTTATAACTTTTGATACGATTCATTGCCAATGGACATGGGAAAAATCTGTTTCTTTTTTTTTTGTAGTTTTTGTAACACAATAGACGTAGAAAAGCGGTATCAATATTAAAATACGCAGTTCAAATAAAAGAACAAAACTGTGAAAAATATTGTAAAATTTTGATATTTTATAAGGAAGTTTTGCCGACTTGTCATAAGGTGACGACTTCACCAACGAAGAGATTAAGATTAAGAGATTTTAGGTTTTTAAGTAGTGTATCAATTTATATTTTGATGTCATTCACTCATTATGTTAATATATATATATATCCGTTAGCTGTAAAATTCTCTATAGTCATAATATAAAAATATTTATAATTAACTGAGAAAAATTTTTTATTGATTATTAAAAGTTTAAAACGAAATTTTCCATCAGGGAATTAACGGTTAAGGATATTGTACCGAAAACTGTGATATTTCGGTAGGACTTGAACATTTTCTTTGTTATTAAGACTACCAGCAACAATTTATTAAAATCACATTGAAAAATGTTTTAGTTAAAAACTCGGTGGTATTCGTTCACTGGGGTGATGTTTCCCTATTGACAAAATTTCAAAGAAAAAAGTTTTTTATATAAATTTTTTATCTTTATACAATCATAATTCGTGTCTGAAAGAGCTAAGTTAGTAAATAAAAAGAAAAAGAAATTTAGCAAAACGACAATAAAGTGTTATCTTAAAAAAAATCCTAATTTTTGGTTGTGAAGGTAAAAAAAAAATGATTGAATAACCACAATACATTCATGAATCTTATAAAAATATTTGAAATAATAATTATCAAACGATTATAAACTGTAAAAAAACAAATATTGTTTGTATCGGTTTATAAAATTATATTGATATACAATTTATAGTACATTATTGTATTATAAATTGTTTGCATTGGATTTAATAATCACCTACATAATATGAATAATACAAAATTATTAAAAAAATTATAAAATCCTAAGAAACAATATGCCAAACGCTTATGTGACTCGAAAATAATTTTAATTTGATTGCATTTTCAGGATAAATGCTATTGGTAGACAAATGATTTTTGGGTGGAAATCCTTTATAATAAAAATAATCAAGGAATCTGTGTACCTATATCTTGGAGCTTTTTATTTGTATTATTATATTGAATTGTTATTATACATATATATTAAACAAATATATTTGAAATATATTTAATACATGATTATATTTAATTTATTTTAGAGTAGCGTTGTTAATTACCTAGTTATAATATATTAACCAAGGTTTAAAATTCAATCTAATAAATTTGTAAGATTAATATTAATTGTATATTTATTATGCTCATTAATTTTTTTAAATTTAATTACCTAGTACATGAAAAGAGAATGCAGTTTTGGGTTTGTTCGGACATCTTTCTCACACACACAGTACTGCCGTTGATCGCAACTCTTTTCAACAAGAATTGCACGTGCATAGTCTTGTAGTATCACTATTCTAAAATTTGATAACTATCAAATGGAGAATGATAAAACTATCAGTGCGCTGTTCAATAGAAGAACCGATTGCGATTAGGTAATCAACAATCAAAACAAGTAACCCTGTTTTTATTGTTGATTAACTTTAAAGGTGGTCACGATTAAAGATTTCAAATTTATAAAACACATATACTATGAAAATCGCAGAAAATTATCAAGAAAGATATGTCAATTGAGGGGGGGGATATAATCCCCCCGTAATTCCCTTTCGTTTGACCGCCATCACTACATGTAAAAATATTTAAGTGTTTCCTTAATTACTGAAAATCCTGTATAGTATAATTGCATGATTTCAACGTTCACTTTCAACCTATTTTTTTTTTTTAAATATTTTGAAGGAGTGGAATAAAATATCGCATCTAAATAACAACAAAAAAAAACTCCATTTTTTTTTACGGTCTTGGAGGGGATGGAGAATTAATTTTCTAAAAGGTAGCTCTTTTTGTAACACTTTATGAACTTTGCATTAAATAACACATCGACATTTTTTTTAAGGCTTCAAACATTGAGGCGTATTGCATTTATTTATCGAATAAAATCAAGCCCGTCAATACAAACGGCGGAGCTGAATTAGTCGACGATATTTAGGCTATTTATTATTATATATTTTTTTAGTCGACTCGCAGTCTAGGAAGGAATACTATTGTGGAGCCGATATTTAAAGGTAAAGGAGACATTGAGGAGTGTAGAAATTATAGAGGCATAAAGCTTATGAGCCATAGTATGAAAATTTGGGAATAGGTAATAGATAAGAGAATAAGAAATGAAAAATCGGTATCTAAAAACCGGTTTAGATATACCTGATAAGTCAACAATGGAGTGATTATTTTGTGTTAGGCCACTAATAGAAAAGTATAGGGAAAATAATAAAAAAGTATATATAGATTTAGAGAAAGAGTATGATAAAGTACCGAAAGAGGTTTAAAATAAGTCATGCTGAATGATAATAAAAATGGGAAACTTTTCTTGTAAAATTTAACAATTTTTTTAATTCACGAGCAACACAATTAAACAATAACAGTTAGCGGACGATTGGAGATGTGTTTAGCATGTCGACTGGGAAACTGAAAGTCGATATGTGTTGTTTTATAGGAAAGCTGCTCGTTTTAATCATTTGTATTGTTATTAATTTGTACTCGAACGGTCAACATAAGGACGTAGTTTAGGGGAAAATTAAGAACACAAATGAATTGTTTAAAAATTCTATTTCCTATGATTCCTCTAGTTTCTAACGTACATTAATATAATACATATAAATAACACTATTTTCCATTTATTTACAAAAGTTAACTATAATTTTTGTATAATAAAATCAATAATATTTTATGGAAGGATCCAAAGTACATAACTTTACACGTGTAATTACAATACATTTTTTTTTCTTTGTCAACACTATTCGTCATTTTCGCGTTTAGAAAAATAATACACAAGTCCGTAATATTTACAACAATAAAAAAAAACCAATTAACATAATAATAATAATAATGATAATAATAATAATTATAATAATAATAATAATAATAATAATAAAATAATAATGATGACGATAATAATATCTACTCGTATTATTAATAGGTAATGATTAAAATAATAATAATGATAATTATAATATTAGATTATAATGATTAGAAAAAAAAAACAGCAAAAAAAATCGCGCGTTTACCGAAACAAACCGAAGAAAAACTAACAAACCAAGTGATCTTCTTTGGAACCGGAACGTGGATTAATCGGAGTAGTACTAAACGGTCAGAATAACGTACACGTATTTTGCGTTACTTGTACGCGTTGTTAATGTAAAATTGCATTTGTAACCGCGTTAGTATTATTTTATCCAAGTCGGTAAAACGATTGTCGTCGAGTTGTTTTCCTATAGTGTGTTAAACTGCCGGCCATACTCTGTGAACACAACAAAAAAATCATTAACATCAATTATCCGTAAACGTGCACTCCGTTTTGAGCGGATGCGGTGGCTGCCGTACATTACAACCCAACGCAATCTATTTACACGGCACGAGTTTGTGTTGCGCGACAACCAGCAAACGGAGTGTCGCGCGGGCAAAACGGGTGTCCGGACGCAGTCGGTTTTCGCAGTTGGACGGCCGAATTACGGGACGCGCGTTCACAATGGACAACGACAGTTTACCGCAATGTGCTCGGTGCTGTCCCGAGCGCCGTTTGTGTTTCGATCGTGGACGAGCGAATTATTTCGTCGTCAAACGGCACGATGGCAAATACGGTACTTTTCAAACGGCATCGTTTCGACGTCCGGTTGGGTTGGCGTGTCGACGGTACGAGACGGCCGATCGGAGACGACAAATGGAACGATTGTTCATTACGCCGCGTCCAACGAGCAATAACTGCCGAGTCATCGTTTTCGGGTGTTGCCCGTCCATTCACCGATCCGCCGACGAATCGATCGACCGCCGCGGTGTCCATATCATATCGACCACCAATCGGCGGCGGTGCCAATCGCATGACCATTACAACGGTAAAATATGCAATGAAACGCCGTCTGAGAGTCCTACGCGATAACCCGTCGGGTACGATTATTTTCGAGAACGGGACGTCCCGTGTCGAGGTGTTGTCGCCGAGGGTGTCGTTCGATGCCGACATCGGAATTAACGATTTCCTATCGGTTTTCCTCTTTAGGGCGTTGTGTCGGTTTTTTCGTTCGACGGCCACGACATTTGCTCGATTACCGCCGCCGAGTACTTGACGCGTACTTTGAAACTGTTTAGAAACTTTACCAACTTAATTCAATGACAATAACAATAAATGAGTGTATCGGCACCGGTATCATTAACGGAACCCGTCGAGTGTCGGCCAAGAGACTGCGTGTGCGGGTCGCGGTAAACAATTGCTTTTTGTTTGACTGCACTACCCTCTGCCGGCGGCAGTCGTTATTCGCACACATGTCGCTGCTTTCCGGGCCGAAAAAGTTTTCGCCGGCGGTTCGAGTGCGCCCGACTTAAGATCTCATCGTAACAATGTACACGGCCCTCGTTAATCGATCGGTTGTTGTCCTTCGATTGTTTAATTATCGATTGTGTTCCGTCGAGTACAGTAATCGCGATTGACAACCCGTTAAAAAACGCCACGTCGGTGAAGCACCGCCAGTACTCGAAATGCGTTTTGGCCCTAATCGAGCGCTCTCAACGGCCGACAATTCTGTTACAGTTATTGTAATTTTAACGGTCTCTCGAGTAATGCGATTTTAGCGAATTAAACGACGAGTTAATTAATTCTTTACAACGTCGGCGGTCGTAAAAGAATATACTCTCGTTACAAGAGTAATTAACGGGTTGTTTTGTTTTCTGCGGTCTTGGTTGCCGTCGAGTCCGACTACCGAACGAGACCGGTCGAGTCCAGCGCCGAAGATAGACAGACACTGTGTGTGTGTGTGTGACCAACCCACCGTGACCATTGCCTGTGAATATACACAATTTGTATTCATCGTGTAAGAACTATTCAAATTTAACGAACGGAGCCGTTGCGATCGAATTGTTTTCGGTCGTAAATCGTATAGAGATCCGGTGAAAAACAACGGCAGAAAACGTCCGTATAATCCTTTTCGGTGCGTGTAAGTAAGGAGCACGCAGAATACAATGGAAGAAACCGGGGGAGGGCGGGGGGAAGAGTAATAACTGTGTGTTTACTAAACGTGTCACAGAGTCTTGTCGCCGTCGTGGGAAACGCCGGTGATAAATCGTTTTCGACTTTTGTGTAGCGTTTCCGACTCGCCTCCGTGTTCTCTCGTTAGGCGAAGACCGATTTTTCGGCGCGACCGGAAGTCCGTTGACGTCACTGTGAGGGGATACCAAGGGGACACCCACGCAATCGCGAATTTCTGACGTTTAAAAGTACGAGGGAACCGGCGAGACGAAAACAATACAAGAAAACCACGTGCCCTGCCCGCGAATCGATGAAACCATTTTATTATTTAGGACTGCTGGACTCCGAAACGAAGGTGGAAAGATGAAATAAAAAATTATCAAAACATTAATGACAGTCACGATCAACGAACACACGTAGAAAACATAGTAAAGAACGCGTGTAATTGTAAATAAATTTATTCGTTTGGTACACGATTTCGTATCGCCTAATTGTGTTTGTTGACGATGTGATTATTTGTACCTAATTAATATTAATGAACTGGTCGGTACATTTAATCTAGTTGCAAAACAGTCGAACCTAGACAAACGAGTGTTTGTTTCTTGTTGATTATTTTTTTTTCCAGGTATTAGAAAGTTCAACCGGAGTGACATTGGAACACGAGGTAAATAATAATAATAATTATGACGAGTTGAATCCTTGGCGAGTATGATATTTTTGTCTAATATAAAAGTAGTCGGTTGTTGTGCGAGTGCTCCCAGTGTTTTTTACCGATCACTTTCACGGACCGATCGGCTCTTTGCGACGGCCGAGGGCCGCAGATTTGCATAATGCACACGTCCTACCGACTGTGTTGCGGTAAAAAGAACGTGTATTTATTTTGAAATCGATATGCTCGTTCGACGGCCTTCTTCGGAGTAACTGTTGGGCGAGATGAAACTTAAAACGGTGATTATGAGCCGGTATTTTATTGAGATTAAAGGAACCGATCAAAAACAAAAATCGTTATAGCCCAATTTTAGTTGAAAAAATAATTACAAATACTGAATTTGTCAATCGTTTGTTTGTAGTCTGGATCGGTCGCGCGAGAAATTTTTTTGATTTTCATAAAACGGTTTTGGCTCAACAACACGGCGGACCACTCGGAACAGAAATTTGTGCCTCCTCCGCATATCGTTTTATTGTTTTTAAAACGTACTTTACTCGTGCGCAGATTGCACCGGACAACAAGCCCTACGATTACAAACGTGACAACCGCTACGCCTTTGGATCGATTAAAATGTATCGTTTATTAATGAAAACCAGTTTATGCGGCGAGTTTTTTGAGCACTGCGCGGCATATAAATTTGTACGGACCGGTACAATAACAATCGATAGAACATTTATAGATACTTAATATAAATATATAAACATTGCGGTTCACATTAGATTACTTGGTAATTACTCTTCATAATTATAATTGATTCGGTCACGTTAGAATGCATTTTAGTTGTCATAATAACTAATTATCACTTATCCACGGAGTACTACTATGTATTAATAATATTCCAGTGATGAGTTTGTATACGCGTTGACAATTAGCCATCGGTCGGCATAATAGTATTTTAGTAAACGAAATTATTACGAATAACTGTTGCTAATCATTTTTAATTAATTATGATCGATTCAATCGGAGGTAACGGACTTTGTGATCCGAACGGAAGCTACGAAAAAAAAGACTACCTTTTTTTTTGTGAAATATTCGTCGAATCTAATTTAATTAATGAACGTCGAACGCGACAATTGAACGGATAAAAACGTACTCGGGGGCTCGGTCGGCGGCTCGTTACGGTTAAAAAAATAATAACAAAACTCTAGACCCCGAAAGTCATCAATCACGCGATCGCCGTACCTTGTAAACAACACGTCCCTTTTAAATCAAATTGTTTCTGCTCAGTTAACGGCGGCGGTGGGGGGGCGCGTTATATAATACTACGGTAGTGTCTTCCGAGCGGTACTACCGTGACAAATTTCATTATAACCTCCTCGCGCGGCGGCCACAACAAAACACCGACTGCCGACAGTGGTGAAGAACGCGTAGGCGGTGGTACCGATCAATGCACCGCGTCAGTGGCATCCGCACAAAGGAGTCTGGTTGTGATATAAACACATCAGTGTAAGCTTTCCGTCGGCAAACCATGACGCGCGTGTGTGTATCCGTTTCGTAAACGACCCCCCGGCAAGTGCTACCGCGCGGGTGTGTTTCACACATTTTAAACGCCGTCTCCCGTCTTGCGAGACGCCAATATACACCCCTTCCCCTCTTCCTACCGGTAGTCTTTGTTTTTTCCGTGTTACGCGGTACTTTTGGTACCGCGCCGCGGTGCACCGGATACCGCACGGCAGTGTTAGCGACGCAAATAGTCTGTTGCGCATTTGATTTGTGTACGGCGGTCGCGTTTCATACGAGCAGCGACTGTAAGCGCACGCGCCGTTATTCGTTAATTAGTAGTAGTAGAGCGACACTCACGATAGCAGTCCCTGGTTGGGGCCGTCCGTCTGGTACCAGCTGTATTGCGGCATGTAGCCGGCGGCGGGGTGGTGCGAATGATGATGCGGGTTGGTGGCCAACGACAGATTGGGGGGCTTCATGTCCCACGCGACGACGGGCGGCGAACCGGACACGCCGGACGAATGGTGAACCGGCGGCACCGGTGACATGTCGCAGCTGACGGGGGTCGAGCTGGGCGTGGGGCTGGCGCCGACGTGTTGGCCCATGCCCGAGCCCACGTGACCGCCGACGTATCCTCCGGTCGGACTTGGCTGACTGCCGGACGACGAACCGTTACCTGCGTAAAAAACATAAAAAAAAAAAAACAAACAATTAGTATAATGCAAAAGGATATATCAACGATCCGTTCGGTCGACCGATTTCGGCGAGCGTCGAGGGGTTTTTGGAAAAACCGAGTCGACGACCGAATGGCTTTCGTCGGCGGCACTCGAAGGTTTCAAGTGGACAGAAACCTCCGAGTACGGCACCCTCCGTCCGTACTTGGAGATTTCTTAGCGTTTAAAAACCCTTCCGGCATCCGGAAATGTCAAATACATAGTGTTTTATTGTTATCGACGTACAGTGTATACTATTCGACTGCGGTCGTCGTGTGTGTACAGTATAACACTAATGCACACCACAGTCGGTCGATTAGAGCCGATCGAGTGTTTTAAATAGTGTGTGTCAACGACACGGTCAGAAACGGGTTTTAGCGACACGAGCCGCCAACACAATGTATCGATATTGTAATTACACGGCCGGCAATTAAATATACAATAGCAATTAGTCGGTGTGATCGTGTAATTGTCGTACGCGCGGCTTGAGGCAGCGAGCAATCGGTCTGACGGTGCGGTGGTGTGAGACCGTCGACGACGACACCGCCGTCGCGTTTACAGCTTTTCACGACCGAGAGCGGAACCCGTTCGGTTTTCTATTATTTTGGGCAGTTGAAGGGTTCGAATCGTTGTACCGATCGACGGTACAAAACGGTGGCTTCGGACTCGTGTCGATCGGTGGGGAAGGGGAGGCGATCGGAGAGGGTGTTCGGAAGTTTTGCGCCGCGTTATCGTCGCAACGGACAAAAAAAAAAAGAAACGGCGGTACAAAAGGAAACGAACGAGAAGTATACGGCCGCGTTAACAAAGCCAAACGAACGAGACGGACTCGGGGAAAAGAAGTGTAAAAAAAAAAATACCCAACAGTTCCACGACGTTTCGTTTGTCGGTTTAGTGTGTGCGCGTACACACCGTCGGTACAATACACACACACACACACACGGTAGTAGTTCATGGAATATAGTAATGCGTATAGTGTAGTTTTTAGTAGTGGCAGTCGTGGCGGGCAGGTACGCTCGGTGAACCGAAACGGTTGCAATCTCCCACGGTCACTTGACAGACCCATCCTGTTCCGACCTATTGTTTCGTATGCTGGCGAGTGTACGTCTGGGTGTGTGTTATTTTTTTCGCTCGGGGCTCTGAACATCAAAATTCTTCTTCCGGGCGCTAGTACGACTACTGACCGGAGGAGTGTATAAAAAATTGGCATCGCGACCCGGAGCTTTTTAGTTTTTAACCGCGGCCCGAGACGTTGTCGGGCGAACCGTTTTGTTGTAAGACGAGCGACTACGAGACGCCATCGCCGTCTACTGTTTTACAAGTGTATTCCGAGGATGTTAGAAAAAGGCCGACAGGTTTTTTCTTTGAAAATAATTTCAAGTTTTGAAAAAGTAAGCCCTCTTAGTGGCAACGGGTTTCTATTGGAAATTATTTTTTGCTGCCACGTTGGGAAATTGCGTCGAAGGCGGTAGAAAAATATAATAATTTGGATATACCGATCGCGGTGGAAAAACTTTTGAGTAGATATCGCTGGGCGCACAAAAGTTCAGTCGGCACTATCTTATTTGGCATCGAATCGCCGAGGAAAACGTCAGACTTTTCATTAATATTCGTAACATGTACGACAAATGTGTAGTCTTCTTTTGTGTAGGTAAAGCCCAAGCGAATAAAAAAAAAAAAAAACTCCATGAAAACCAGAAACAAAATAGTGTCCGTGTAAACTAGAAATCAAATTAGAATCGACACGAAGAACGCAAAAGTACCCCCTCCCAAAAGCGTGACTGTGCTGGTCCAAGAGGTACGCGAGCCGAAGGGAAACACTGGCGGGACGTCGAGTACTTACCGCCTAGAAGGCCGCCGGACGGCGGTGGGCTGTTCGGTATACCGGGCGTGTTGGCCCCGCCGGGGCCTCCCAACATGTGGCCGGGGCCGCTGTTGTTGCTGCTGCTGTTGTTGGACGGCGTCGACACTTGTTGTTGCGCAGCTTTCATCATTTTTTTGTATTTGCTCCTTCGGTTTTGAAACCATATTTTTACCTGAAACAATGTAAAAGCGGTTAGTGTGTGACTGTATTTATGTGTAGCACAACATTTGTACACATACAATTCATGTCGTTATTATGTCTTATACTATTGTTATTATTATTATTTTCACGGGCGGTGTTGTGAAACGCATTCGTATCCGCCGTCGGAGTTTACACAAAAATTATATTTGTCTGTCATTCTACACTCGTATGTACCATAACTATATAGTTATATAGTGTACATATATATAGTTAAATATATATTTAGTTATACACAGACGAATAAAAACGCGGTGGATGTTGAATTACTGCGATTTTTTTCCAAACGGAATTCTCAGAGGCGTTCGATGGATTATCGCCCGACGGATTTTCGCGGCGTGTTTTTTAACCAGTGTGCAAGATTAATTTGAAACGTCGCGTTCGGAGCAATCGTCGGGACGCCCGCGGCAAGATGATTACTGCAATTAGTTTTGGCCGTTGCGAACAAAATGCTCTTGTGGCCGAAACTCAGAAACTCCGGATTTTCCGGAGTGTGAGATCCAATTCGGATACCGTGCGCCCCCGAACGATATTTGATTTTGTTTTTTAATTGAGTCGTGTTGTGTTATTTGTTATTGTCGGCCGCAGTGTAAAACCGAAACCGCTTCGTCGTAATATACGGCCGCTAATCGTGTAAATCGTATTTTTATCTATGCGAAGGTCATTCGAATATATCATAACCGGTATTCTTCGGGTTGACGTAGTCCGTGGAAAAAAAAAACATTCTAACGCAATAGTTACTTCACTACACGCCGCCTTCTAAATATTTACTAATCAAAGAGTTTAGCAATCGAAACTATCAAACGAATTGCCGTGTAAAAAGGAAACGCTTTAATACAAAAAACGCCTTGCTGCACCTCGTTTAGTGGGAAATTCGAGTTGAGAAAAAACATTTTTTAGCTGTTTTGCGAGGGAGTGTAGGTGCCGGTTACGTTTTGTCTCCGCTCGAGTCCCGTCCAGAAAAAAAACTGTTTCCTCAGCGCTCGACAAAACTACTCGATTCGTTCGTCTCGTGTAAAACAGTAGCGGTGTAAAAAATCACATGGAACAACTCGACCCGTTTCTGCGATCGGATCGATAAAGTCGACGATACTAATACTGGTCCCGCTTTTGGCGGCGGGATCGGTGAAGACCCGTTGCGAAACACGAGTGTTTGCTACGGCGGTGGTATCGGTTCGCCGACAAAGCGTTCAGCGTCGTCCCGGCTAAAATAAAAACCTTTACACGGTTCGGACGAACTAGACTTCCACCCCCTCGCCGCCGCCGCACCGACGTCGCGTTCTTTCCAAAGCATTCTAAAAAACTACATTCTACGGCCGCCGGAGTATATCTGTAGTGCACTGCGCGTGCAATTTTCTTGCGTCCGATCGTACACCGGATTGTCCGCATGCTTATTACCGAGACGGTTGTTTTTTGTATTATTATTATTATTATTATTGCGCTCGGCGGCGGCTCTTTATGACGTTTTTAAAATGCGCGGAATTCGACGGGGTTTTTCTGGGACCGAACGGCGTCGACGGATTTCTTTTCTGGTGTGTCGCGCCGGCCGCCGCGTATCCAAACCGATAAATTTACGATAACTCCAATCGCGCCTTTCGAAATATATTCGGAGGATAATTATTTTTTATGCGTTTCTGTGTTTTATGCCTCGTATACAGGTTTCAGTGGTGTGGTACGCGCGTTTACCGTGCATGTAACGTCGATGGGAAACTCGGTCGAGAAGGGAAAAAATTATTAAAAATCTACGATAAGTCGGTTTTTTGCCGGTCCGCTCGCGCGTATAATATTTAAATAATCATAAATTAAAAAATGACGTGACGCGCGCAAACCGGTTTTTTAACTGTAACTATTTCCCGTGAAGAAACTCGCGTGATATTTTTATACGGGTAATTATAAAAATTGGAACATAAAAAAAATGTGTACATATTTTGTTCTCTTTTTTTCGTAATTAATTCGGGACAGTGCGCGCGCAATGGCGTTACTGCAGTCCAAAACAGAACGACGACGTAGAAATCGGCAACTTTTTGGATGCGAAAAATATTTGTTACGCATAATTACAATAAAATTTGACGGCACCCGACAAATGTCGTAAGATAAATGTTTTAGGTTGTAATGGTCAGGGATCGAGTAATAACATAATACAAAATGGAAATGCAGAAGAAGACCGTATAAATCAGCCTCTAGTGCTGCTGCGACGTGTATAGGTAATATTTTAATTCGTGTGCAGTGAGTGTACCGGCTAAGTGAACACGCGCCCGTATTAATGTAATAATAACAATAATAAACGTTATGGTATTACGGTCGGGGGGAGCCATTGATTTTAATCTGTCAGTAAGTACTAATCAATGTCAAACGGATTTTGATATACGAGTCGGTCGGTCGTGCACGTTGCCCCCGAGCCGGAGGCGACGGCGTTTCCATACCTGAAAACGTACAAAAAAACCGAAACAAAAGCGTACCATCCCCCTTACGATAAGACCGGAATAACAAAAAAAAAACCCTATAACTTACGAGTAATAATATTATGCGTCTCGTGTCACTTCTATATTCGTACGACGCGTTATTTATGTGCTACAAAAAATGTACGCATCGCCTTTTTTTACCGAGTGGCTCGGGGCGCCCCGACGCGTCGGTCTTGCGGAGTCCACGACAAGGGCGTCCCACGCGCGTACACTAGCAGTTCTCGTGGTAACCCCGACGGTTATGGGTTGCACTATCCCGACGTTTTTGGGTTGAACTACCCCGACGGTTTTTGGGTTGAACTACCCCGACGGTCGATACGCAATCTCGGCCGCGTCAGCGCACAGCAACGTGTGAAAACGCGTGGGCTTTTTCAAATCGACACTTTATTGATTTGGCGCCGGTAAGGTCTTATTAATTCGGCATAACTGTTACACACAACTATGGAAATGTATTTTTTATTCTTATTATTTCACAATAATCGTACGAATAGTATACACGACGGCAGTGTGTGTGTGTGTGTGTACAGTCGCGTTCGTAAGGCGGAACTATGGTACGCCTACCACGGCCGACCGTGTACATACGGTACGCACAATGTTTTGTAATGTATTTTAATAAATACCGGTAACAATAAAAAAATAATAATAATAAAACAAAAATAACTGGTATGTGTACCGTGCTCGCCGTGAAATCACTTAACCAGAAACTTTTACTTCATTATGCGCATTTTTATTTCATCTTCCTACCACCCCGCGCGTCTCGATCGCATAAATAAATAACAAAAATCCAAACATCGTTGTGCTGGTCGTACACACCAGTGACGTTAAACAAATGAAATTCCCGGGACACCGTTTGGGATCGTTGCGGCGACCAGCGATGGACGAACATTGTTGTTGCTGCTGCCCGGCGCGTTGCAGTTGACCAGTACCGTGTCCTCGCTGTTTGATTTTAATTCGGACGGGTACACATCAATATCGAATACCGGAAAAATAGTAAAATCTACTGCCGACTAGATGCGCAGTTTTTTTTTAGATGATATTGCTTTGAAATCGATACGGCAGCGACCGGACACGAAGGCTCGTCTTGGGTTTTAATTTATGTACGCGCCTCCCGGCGTTTACATCATTAGCATACGGAACCCGTTAAAAACAAAAACCGCGTGTCATAACGTCAGTTTTTTGATGTTTATATATTTTGTTTTTTTAGTTTCTACGGAGTACCCGGACAGAACAGCTGCGACCGTTTCGGTACACGTGTAATAAATCCGTAAACTCCGACGGTGATCGCGTTGTACGTGCGGAGCGGCAGGGGGAAAATACGAGTTTGTTGCGTTTCTTCGAAGCCGTCGCCGTCGCTTTACCGCGAAATTTCGATGCGCTCACATTTTTCGAATAGCTCGGCCGCCGCCGCCGTCGACACGGTGACAGTGCGGTGTCCACGTGACGGCCACTCCGGACGCTGTACAAAATTTACCGAGTCATTATGGATTCGACCGTGTTGCATAGATTTACGGTAGTGTCGCTGCGTCGTCGTCTCGGACCGCACCGGTCTGTTTTTCAAGTGAACTACTCGTGACGTAACGAAAAACGGGGGCGGTTGGACCGAGACGGCGAAAACGAGAAACAACAATTATACGCGCGTATACATTCGAAACTATAAAGAAATAAAAAAGTCAACGGCCGATCGTGTTTACAATGCGACGACGGTTTTGTATTGAGACGCGTCCGTCTCGGCACCGAACCGGTATGCGCGCCGCACAGGGTCGCACGGGTAACGTGTGTGCGCGCGTGCGTGCGTGTCGTCGGTGTCTCGATTAGATCGAGAGATTGGACCGCGATCGACTCCTGTCCACACGACGGCAGACACCCTGTCCTCGCACGGCAACAAGAGACGCCGCGCGCGTTCTTTTCACGCGTACGCGACCGATTTCCTATCGGTCGACATTACCGACCGTCGTGACGGCGGTAGCAGCAGCTTAAAAAGGGGAAGCATTTGACGTACGACAAACGGGCGTGGTGCCAGCGATCCGGTACGCGAACCGTTCGATTACAACGTAGCGTGTATTGTTTGTAAAACGGCATTGTTGTCGTTGTTGTAACAATAGAAGAGTGCGGCAAAACTCTGTGCGATAAACTCCGTGGGCCGGTGCGTCAGCGGCGGCGGCGGAGGACAAGAGGACCGCGTGTACTTTTTGATGAATAGACCCGGTACGGGCCGGACGCACGCACCGGTGACGACGTCGTCACCGGCGGAGTTATTTGCAAGGACGCGTGAAATTCGTATGGAAAAAAAATTGTTCAAGGCTCTGTTGCAAAACGGTTGGGCCGATACTCTACTCGGTTGGTCATGTGCTCAGCAGTTCATATACGGTGCCCGGCCGTGCTGATAATACCGCGACCTACCTCACCCAAAATANATTGTTCAAGGCTCTGTTGCAAAACGGTTGGGCCGATACGCTACTCGGTTGGTCATGTGCTCAGCAGTTCATATACGGTGCCCGGCCGTGCTGATAAT